TAGAGATCTGACAAATCTCTCATCAATACTTGACTTTTTAGTTTCTTGAATCAACACCATATCCACCCCTTTTGACTTTATGAAATTTCTGATCCTCCTCCTTTTCTCAGGCTTACCCAAGCCTCTAACATTCCATGAAAGAACTTTCATTATGGAACAAACTTTGACTGCAAAATCTCCTGCAGGTGCAGACTTAAGCACCACCATTCACTCCTTTTTTGGTTAGTCTTTCCTCATCTTGCCTGTCCATCTCCGAAATTTTCTGGATAACACTCTCTTCATTAGCCCCAAAGTCAATACCCAAAACTTTCCCCACCTTCACGGTTTCTTGAGCTTCAATTCGGCTTAAAATCTGTTTATAAGCCCCACTACTGATTGACAGAGATGAAGACATCACTGCTGCCGCAGCTCTGAAAATAGCTCCTCTGTGAAATCCTTGGCAGAAGTGATGAGTAGAACGCAATTTCCTCATTCTTCTTTGGCTTTGCCCCTTTATTTTACTACCCTAAACTTGACCACACTCGTGCACTCTTGCTCTATTTTCCAACAATAATTGATCCCCAGTTGATGCTTTCCTTTTACGGTTCCGATTGTTATTACCTTCCTTCCTCCCATTTACTGGCTTGTTCAATCCCTTATTCAACAGGGCTGATGGGCCCACTTCTGTATGGATAACCTGATCAGTAGACCCCATATTACAGCCCAACACCACTTCCAAATTCAGCCCAGGCTTAGCCATGCTAGACTCACTTAAACTTCTCATATACCCAGGCATGTACACCTGTTCAGAGCACTGCCGAGATTTTTTTAATAGAGCCCCCGGTGTTCCTTTACTTTTCCAGAATCTACCTTGAGGACCAACATTGGATACCATCTCCTTCTCTGATCTTGGCCTACTACTTACCTTCCCTTGGGTCTTAACATTATTGGCCCAATCAGCTATAACAGGTTGGGCCACTACACCTTCATCTTCACTGCTGCTAATCTCATCATCAGAATTGCCCACTTCCTCAACTGGGTAGACATTCTCAGAAAGAGTTACCTTTCCTAAATCAGTCGGCCCACGCAACCCATGGTTTACAATATTATGGCCCCAGTCCTCTTGGTGTAAGTATTTTTGGCCCAACTCCACTTCGAGGTTCAACCCATGTAAATTTAGACTAGAACCATCCAATCTTCTCATACACCCAGGCGAGAAGACGTGCCCATCATTACCTTGTTCAGCTGGTTTGGAGGCATTAAATGCACTGCTACCTGCCACCATTTCCTTGCATGCTTCAACCTCGAGCTCCTTACCTACTATGCTACTAGACTCAGCCACTTCCGTGTCACTCTTCCAATTTGCCTCTATTATACTGCCATCCCCACGTGTCAACACTCGACTGGCCTCATTTTTGAATTGCTCAGCACCCTGAGTTGACCCACCTTCTCTGGGTTGAGTTGACTCATCTCTGAGGTTCTGTAGTGGCTTACCAACTCTGTTGGAGTCATGATCCTCATCTTCCTCCTCTGGACTAAGTTTTTTCATCTTATCAAGATGATTCAAACAGCTGCAGCACTGATTTACTGTTTTTGCTTCAAGGACCTGAACTTCCGAGACTCTCACTGGATAAGAGGAGTGCTTAGTCACCAGGTTGATAACATTGTTAACAGGTTCCATGCACTTGGTAATAGTCCTAAGCTTAACACAATCGAAAGACTGAGGTATGCATTCAGCACCTTCAATAACTTCACCCCATATGCTACCAATCTTAACAAGATGGGACCTATTCCATAAATGTAATGGAATGCCATAGCAGTTAATCCATACAAGTCTCTCTTATGCCAAAGCAAGCTCTGGCCTCCATTGGATGATGTCATCACACCATTCATGGATAATTTCTCTGATAGACTTCATCCTTGTTACCATTTCCTCCTTGGAGTTGAAAGATAACACCACATCGCGACCACCTCCTTGTCTGGCTTCAAACCCTTCTATTCCCCTAGCATTAAGCTCAAACTTCAAACTAATGTTTACACATCTGACTTTTAGCCGGACTAGGACGCTGTCGTAAAGCCACCCATTACCATACTCCTCGGCCTGAACTGTAATAGAGTCTTTGTCCTGTATCTGAATACCTCTTACCACATCTGCGAACGTTTTGTTGTTGGTGAAGTGATGTGAGCCTCTCCGGAGTTCCTCTCTGAAATGTGGTTGCGGTGGTTTTTGAGCATGGTACTTCCCCTGTTCTCTGCTTCGTTCGTAAGCCGCAAGTTTCACGAATAACTTCTTATCATCCACCCATAGACCATCCGCCTTCTGCACAGCAACGTTTGCAGCTACCTCACAGCTATATCTTACAAACCCAAATCTAGTATTAGTATTCCTACGGCGTTTTTGTGGAATGAAACTATCTTTTACAACTCCAAACTTCCCAAACAGATTAAACAAGCCTATGGAATTCATTGAGTTAGGTAGATTATCCACAAACACCGTAAAGACTACTGCACTGCCCACTGATTTCCTTGCTTCTTGCTTCCCTCTTTGCTTCACCACTGGAATCCATCCTCCGCTAGCCATCGAGAGTTCACCAAGTTTTTATTAACAGCCTTGTTCTGAAAAATTCGTAACCAAGTTTTATATAAATTTCTCTTTGCAATCTTAATTTTTAAAAATATTGAGAAAATGGTGAAAGCTTAAGGTGTAAACCATAACTTTTACAAAATTATAGTGTCAATTTTTATTTTACAAGGTGCAAAGTGCAACTTTCACAAATATGTAATATGCAAGGCACAACTTTTTATCTTACAAGGAGGAAAGTGCACTTTTTGTGAGACTACAGAGAGCAAAGTGTGATTAACCCTTTCTTTTATGCAGCCTATCCAAATAGGATAGAAGATAAATTACTGACACTTTTTATTTTTATTCATTTCATTTTTTCAGTTTAACCAAACAAGAATGAGCTCTTTTTTTTTTCTTCTTCTTTTTCTCTTTTTCTTCCTTTTTTTTTTTTAACTTAACAATTTCTTTTCTCTCATGAATTCCCAAATAGAAAATTGTTTGTTCCAAGACAGAAGTAGGAGACATGTCCCTTTTTCTTTTTAACTAATTAACATAAATTAAAACAAGTTACTTTTGTTTTTATTTTTATTCTTATTTTAAATTTAGTTGATAATAACTGAATAATTACTTTGACAGTCACATATTTTACTTACCTTAAAAAAAGTCACATATTAAAAACCAATTAGAGAGTTTACAAGAGTTTTTATTTCAACTGTGTTATTAATTTGGCAACAAATTTGTGTGTATTATGGTTGAGAAAAAAAAATTGATAAAATTGCAAATTGGTCTTATTCAAGCTACACTGCACTATTTAATTTGATTTTCTCAATATGTGGTTCAGTCCTAATTCTTAATTTAGGTGAATCGTATTTCATAATTCGGTCCGTGGTTTAATAATTATGGTTCTAGTTTGGAACCGAACCAAACCCGATTGTTTACATATATATATATATATAATTTGTTATTTATGATAGATACTCAAGTATCTTATTTGTATCATATCTATATATTCATAAGTTGTTAACTTTTTACTTACAAGTGTGTGTTCTTGGATAATAGTAGAACAAGTTCTAAACAATTTTTTATTATAAAATAATGATAAATTTCTTGATCTTTGAGCAAGTTGTAATTATGTTATGAATGGTAACAAAATTCATGAAAACAGAGGTTCAAAATCAAACCAAACTGCATTTTCATGATTCGGTTTGGTTTGTTTCGAAAATTTTTGTGGTATAGCTTGATTCCAAATTTTATGAAAGCGTAGATAGTAATTTGATCTTGATTTACTTTAAAATCAAACAAAACCGAATTATGCTCAACCCTATAAACACGAGTGTGGTGAATTTGTGAAATACATAAAAGCTACTCCAGAATCAGTATTGTCAAAAAAAAAATTAAAATAGAAGTTATTATAATATTAGATATGGAATAAAAAAAATTGGTGATAAATTCAAGAAAAGAGGAAACACATGGGGCATTAAGAATAAGGTCAGATCATTTGAGGTCAAAAGGACATTTGTAACAATTTTACTCTTACAATTTTTTTATTTGTAGTTTCTCTCTCTATTCTCAAACACCATCACCAGCTACCACCGCAAGTCGCCACAAAAGTTGAAAGCTTTCAAAGATATACCAACCGTAGGTATCTGACCATCAGATACCGACAGTCGTCTTCTAACATTACCAACATTTAAATATCGGGTGTTCATAAATTTGACATAACATAAAAGCTCTTTTCATCATTAGAAACAACTTGATTTCCGACCTCTTGCATTGCATTACCATAAGGAGAAAAAAAAAAGGATATCTATTGTGACTCAGAATGAACCTTTCTTGGTGGAGGAAAGGAACAATGATGGATTCTGGTAACAGCAATGGACAAATAAGTAGACACGTGGATAAATAGGTAACACATAGATATATAAGTAGACAGATAGATTGACAGGTAAAGATAATATAGTCTTTCAATTTGTTTTTGCCTTTATGGCCACAAAAGTTTCAAAATTAAACATTCAGGTCTAGTGCCTAACAACTAAGTAAATAACAACAGTAGGAATATGCCAACGCACACTACAAGAAATTAGACTTTCGCCGACCAAAATCTTAGTCGCCATGCACGATTGTTTGTTTTTCTTGATTCTGACTCGGATAATTTTGCAGAGGAAGGTGAACCGGTTGATTTGCACGAACGTGAGGTTAAGAGACCGAGGAGTGAAAAAGGATCGAGATCATGGTTTGGGATCGGGGCCAAGACTAGTCGAGTCGAAGCAAGATGAGGAGATGAGATCATGAATATTGGGTTTCGAGCGCGATGGCGTTGGATGCGCCCTACCTGTTGAAGCTCCTCCTAAGGTTAGTCCTCCCGTCGCTACCCTCCCTCTGGTCTCGTCCTCTCTCTCTCTCTCTTTCTCTCTCTCCCTCTATTGTTCCATCAGATCTGGTCTCAAACAACTCACTATCTTCCTCGCTCTTCATACTGGATTTCGAAATTTCTTATTCAATAACATATGTTTCAGGTATGAGATTTCTTATTCAATGGCCTCACAGGATTGTTGTGCCTATAGGTGGTATAGCTGTAGATACAAGGTAATCACACACACATATATATATTTTAATTAAGAAGGGTTCTTAGTTGTACTTGGCTAATGATTTGCACCATAAGAACAAGATTTATTTGCATTGTTTATGGTATATCGTGATTGACACACTTTTTTCATCGTCAGGTTCAAGTATTTTTTTCATTTTTAGATGTTTTGTTCATCACATGAATTGATAGTATAACAATTTTTCTTTTCTTTTTCTCTTTTTTCTTGCTTTGTTTTATTTTATATGGCAAGTTGGAGTTAACACTTCTTTGTGCCTTTTATGCAGTGAACTAGAGCTTAGACCACAGGGAAAGCTTACGGTGACAGTAGTGAAGGCAAATGATCTTAAGAACATGGAAATGATTGGAAAATCTGATCCTTATGTTGTTGTGTACATTCGACCATTGTTCAAGGTTAAAACAAAGGTCATTGACAATGACCTGAACCCCATTTGGAATCAAACATTTGAGCTGATTGCAGAAGACAAGGAGACACAGTCTCTTATTCTTGAGGTTTTGATCCACATGCCTTTAGGTCACTTTTGACTATGCTATTTTGTGAAATTACTGGGATGGTGCTTTACTTGTTGACCATTCTTGGAAAGTTAATTTGTGTACATACTGAGCCTCTATGCAATTATTCTCGTAATAATCTCTTATGAAAAAGCTTGAACCTAGGGGATGTGGGTGGAGGCCATTGCACCGGGGTAATTGCATAAAGGGTGGGAAATTATGAGAATAATTGACAAATATTGGGAATAATTGAATAAAGAGGAGAAAATGTACAACAGTGTAAAGGGCAGACTTACGGCATGTTTCCCTCTAGTTGTTCCAAGTTTACTAATCTGTTGACTCAGGTTAGGCCAGACCTGTCACATGACCGGATAAGTGGGGCAGACTGGTTAAAAAAAATGGTTGATCACGTTTGATAAATCTGATGCAGTGATGATATAGTTCTAGATTAGTTTTCTTTCCACTAGTGTATTAAAATAATTAGGTATCTTTTTGTCGTGATGCGATACATATTCAGGTCTGATGGGTTGGATTACCCTTCTCCATCACCATCCTGAACCCAATTGGGTTCTCGAATTCCATCCTCTAACCTGCCCCTGCGCTATTAAAAAACACTGGGTCAGTGTTTGTGCTATCCCTATCCCTACCCCTTACCTAGCTTATGTCCGAAGCTTTTCCCTCACCTTTTCCTTTTCCTATTAAAATTTAGCTAAATATAAGCTAGGTCCTTTTATGAAATATAAGCTAAATATAAGCATTACCCTCACAGATTGTCTGTAGCAGGAACGGCTTCAACTTCATCACCAGTTCTCCCTCCGGCATCCATGTATAGTTTTCCTCTGCTTTTCTCTGGTCTCCTCAACTGTCTTCTCCTCTGCTCTCCTCACTGGTTCAATTGATTAAATAATTTTGATTAAGAATATATTTAATTAATGTATTGTGTAGTTGATGTTTAGCATATGCGCTAGTTATAAAAAAATTAAAAAAAAAATCTCTTTGTTTTCTAGTAATGTATCTTTTATGTTCTTCAATTTCTGCTAAACCAGAAAATTTTAAGAAAATATAATGAAATCCCATGGGATTTATATGTACTTAGCACTTGCTAAACTCACTGGGTTAAGGAATCAATTAATTAAATTCAATTAAATGAAGAATTCAATTCGAAATCAAAATTACAGCACTGATAGGAAATTGGCTGACTGGAATACAGGGAGAAACTGAGCCTGCAGGGATCTTCTTTTGCAGAATTATGTTTTACAAACTTTCTTTGATGAGTTAATGGAATTACCTGTGGTACGCTGGTACCACCTCCAGAAAGCATTGAGGGGAATTGAGCTTAGAATTTGGTCAATTGGTCCCAAGAACAGTTGCTGCTGCATAAAGGTGCTTTCTTAATATTGACATGTAATAATGACTTGTTATCACACTCGACATACTAATAGTCTAATACATTCTTGTCATTGTGAAGTTTGGTCCTCATAGTTTCAGCTCCTGACAGCTACTGTAATGGTATTGAATTTGCTTCTAATATGAATATAATACCCAGGCAATTTGTTGGGCATGTGATAGATAATTCCAAGGAATACTCATCATTTGCATTAATTTATCCACCCTAATTTGGGCTATTATCAACCAATATACCTTTGGGCAATCTTTATTCTATTTTATTTAGTCATATTTATCATTTGGGTAGAAGGAATATGATTGATTGTTTGAGAATTATGTCAAAATACCTCTTTTTAGACAGATTCTTCCCTGAAGGTGTACTACAACCATCAGCTAACAAACTTGTGGAACTGATGCCATTTCTCTTAGCCATAATGTATATATATATGTATTTTTCTACAATGATTGCAGTTGGAAGGTGTGGTAACCTTCTTTGGCCGGGTTGCAATACTAATAGACTAGAATACACAGGCATTCCACATGTTCATTACTGCTCTTCTTCAGGTGCTTTAATTTTCTTGTGTCCCCATTTGATTATTTGCAAGATGAAATTGTTGAGTCTGGTCGTTATAATATGATAGGTATGTTTAATTAAATAACTCGTGGAGTCATCATGTGCAGCTGTTGGATCGATCGGGATTACTATATGGAGAGCTTGCTAGATTTGTGTTGAGACTGCTGGGAATTAGAGCAAAGCCTAAAAAGGTTCAGCCACTCCTGATGATGGTTTATGAGACTGATTTATGCCACTGAGACTCAAATATGTGTTCCATTAGTTTAATGGTATTTTATAGTGTGTAGGTTTTTTCATTTTTCATTCAAAAATTTTTAATGGCAAACATGATTCAAGCTCCAAGGTTTATTTGGCAGCACTGCTCACATTGTTGTTTTTCTTGTCTTTCTCTCCCCCATTTGCTTGGATTTTTAAAAGCAACATTTTTTTTTGCTACTAGGGAGAGAATTTACTTTCCCTTCATTTGTGAAGCAAATCATACCATAATAGAAAGCTATTGTGATGATGAGAGAATGGTGTTATCTTCACACAGGCAAAGCGTTGATGTCGATTAAGGCGTCGTTTAGCAACATAGCAAATGTGTTGCTAGACTGGGATGATGTTCACAACGATGATTTCTTTGCTAATTAGAGACCTGAAGAATCTACAATCCATGTATGCTTTCTTTGCTAATCCTGTTGATTTGGTGTTCTTGCTCATTGTAACCAAGTTTACATAATACTAACTTTAGATGTTGTTGTTGAAATATTTTCAGGGATTTTCAAGGGAACCCAATCGCTTGTCAATGTGATGATGAAAATGGAGAGAAAGGAAATACACGTATTGATGGTGTAACTTCCAATCGCTTGTCAATGTGATGATGAAAATGGAGAGAAAGGAAATACACGTATTGATGGTGTAACTTCCAATCGCTTGTCAATGTGATGATGAAAATGGAGAGAAAGGAAATACACGTATTGATGGTGTAACTTCCAATCGCTTGTCAATGTGATGATGAAAATGGAGAGAAAGGAAATACACGTATTGATGGTGTAACTTCCAATCGCTTGTCAATGTGATGATGAAAATGGAGAGAAAGGAAATACACGTATTGATGGTGTAACTTCCAATCGCTTGTCAATGTGATGATGAAAATGGAGAGAAAGGAAATACACGTATTGATGGTGTAACTTCCAATCGCTTGTCAATGTGATGATGAAAATGGAGAGAAAGGAAATACACGTATTGATGGTGTAACTTCCAATCGCTTGTCAATGTGATGATGAAAATGGAGAGAAAGGAAATACACGTATTGATGGTGTAACTTCCAATCGCTTGTCAATGTGATGATGAAAATGGAGAGAAAGGAAATACACGTATTGATGGTGTAACTTCCAATCGCTTGTCAATGTGATGATGAAAATGGAGAGAAAGGAAATACACGTATTGATGGTGTAACTTCCAATCGCTTGTCAATGTGATGATGAAAATGGAGAGAAAGGAAATACACGTATTGATGGTGTAACTTCCAATCGCTTGTCAATGTGATGATGAAAATGGAGAGAAAGGAAATACACGTATTGATGGTGTAACTTCCAATCGCTTGTCAATGTGATGATGAAAATGGAGAGAAAGGAAATACACGTATTGATGGTGTAACTTCCAATCGCTTGTCAATGTGATGATGAAAATGGAGAGAAAGGAAATACACGTATTGATGGTGTAACTTCCAATCGCTTGTCAATGTGATGATGAAAATGGAGAGAAAGGAAATACACATATTGATGCTATAACTTCCATAGTGTTTTATTTCAACTATTCTGTGTTGATAGGTAGTGAAACTCTATAAATAGTGAAAAGGATAATTGTTAAAATCTTAAAACTAAAAACAGTAATGTTAGGTATCATGAAAATTTTGTCATGAAAATAATCATGAAAGCTTTGTAACCCTTGGATTACACTTAGAATAAAGTACCACACAATAATTCAAGGATCATAAATTTTTCATGACAAAATTTTCATGATCCCTAATTTTTTCCAACTAAAAAGGTGCCGCGGTCATTGTTACAAATCTTTTTTGCTTCTAGTATTACAAAACCTCATTATTTTCAATTGAATTTTGGCCTACTCAAATAGAAGGTTGGTAATCATTGTTGACTTGACATTAGGTTCAAATTTGAAAGTTTCTGGGGTTGAAATGGTGGACTAGATCCCCTACCTGCTAGATACATCATTAGTATGTAGATCTTTTCACCGAGCACTGCCTTTGAATGATCAAAATGTTCACATGTTTTGCAGTACCTTAAATGTCTTTTTGAGCATCGAACTTGATGAAGGGCAAATTGGTTGCTCAGTGATTGACTTGAACTTTGTGAAGTACTAGTGGTTCCGCAGCTGACATATTTTGTCTTCAATCTTAATAGGGTGTCGCTGTTAGGGTTCGAAGGCCTACAGACTACAACCCTTCGTTAGCTGCAGCACTTGGTCCTAGCCAACCAAGTCCTCACCTGAACTTATCTGCTAGTGTAAGATGGTACAGTTATCTATTTTTCCTTGACTGTTGCAATATGATTCAATTCACCAAGATGATTGCAATAGTACTTATGGAATCAAGTGTGGGAACATGAATTATTTTTCAACTCATTAAGGTCTTGATGGGAGCTATACTTGTTGAAAAATTTGAATTTAATTTACTTCAATAGTTGTGTTTCTTGAAATGAAAGGGTGTGTCCTTTTGAAGGATCACAACCTTTCTGAAGAGTCACTTAGAAGTCTTTATATTCCATGTCCCTCACTTCATTTTGTTATGTGCATATCCTATGAATATGCAATCAACAGTTTTAGGTCCGATTTTGACCTTTTTAGGATCGGGAATGGCCACCTTAGCTAAACACCCCCACACTTTCAGATACTTGTAAGAAGGATTCCGACCTTTCCATAATTCATATGGAGTTTTAAGAATCTTCTTGTGAGGTATTTTATTCAAAATATAATAAGCGGAAAGAATCGCTTCCCCCCATAAGTTCTCAGGTTTTATTTTTTTATGTACTGTAAGTTTAATCACGTTATTATGTTGATTTATTTCAGTTTTTGGTTTTGCCCAAAAAGCGTTAGCATAATTTTAAATTATATTTTCCATTTAGTTTGGTACTATTTTTCTAACAATCTTAAGACAGATTCCTGAAACATAATTATTGGTTTTATTT